TTAGTATAAAATGTTAAATTTTGTGCCCCAAATTAGAATGGATTTTTTGGAAAACATTTTTTTTTCTTATTTTCACGTGATTTTATTGGACAACATTGTTTTCTTATTTGCACTTAATTTTATTAAAAATATATTATTTCCTTTATTCCACATTATTTTTATATTATTTCTATTTTTATGATATTTTTAAAATTTGGTATGTCCCTATAAATATGTGGCTCTTCATTTAGTTTAGGTCAAGTATTATTGCTCAGTTCGTTGTATTCTCTTAATGTTGTTTTGAATAAAACATTGATTTATTTGCTAATTTCTCGTCAATTGCTTTACTTTAATCTTGTTTCTATCGTTGTGATCTTATCTACATCACATATTTCATATTGTAACATTAAATATCAATTCTTGCAACACTTTCAGGATCAACAAGTGGAATCAAAGCATTCTGGTAGCTTGTTTGTTCCCAACAAGTGGTATCAAAGCTAGGCTGCAGGTTTTTCATGATTTGATTGAGAATTTTTAGAGATTGTTACATTGAAAGATGATATTTCGCTGCTGGATCGTAATACGAGATTTTCGCTGTAGCAAGTAAAGATGAGGATTGTGTTGGCGTAGATGGATTTAGACGATACTTTGTTGGATTTGATAAGATGCCAGCAAATTGGACAATAGAGCAGAAACAAAGAAAAGACGGGAAGGTTTTATTGCAAATTCATCTTTACCTTTCCAATAACATTCTGCAGGACATATTGAAGGAGAAAACGGTGATTGCTTTATGTTTGAAATTGGAGCAGTTGTGTATGACCAAAAGTTTTACGAGCAAACTGTATCTAAAGTAGAGGCTGTATTCCCATCACATGGCAGAGGGAATATCGTTGGAAGATCACCTGGCCGTGTTCAAGGAAATTGTTGCGAATTTGGAAACATTTGTCAAGTATGATAAGAAGGATCAAGCCTTAATCCTGTTGTGCTCACTGCCCGCTTCTTATCCGTCGTTTTGGGACACGATTCTTTATAATCGTGGTACACTCACCATCGATGATGTGTATGATGCTTTATTCTCAAAGGAGAAGATGAAACAACTAGTTGGAGTTACGTCTAGGGATGCGGGAGCTCTGGTATTTCATGGTGATCGACGGAGGGATAGATCGAGGGTAAACTTCAGCAATTTGTATTGCTTCTACAGCAGGAGGAAAGGACAGATTAAGAAAGATTGTGATAAGTTGTAGGCTAAAGATAATTTAGCTGCAAATCATGGAAGGCAGTCAAGAAATTCAAGCAAGACCAATATTGTCGAGGATTTTTCGGATGATGGAGATGTGGTGTTGACCATAACTAACATTGAATCTATGCCTAACGAAGAATGGATTCAGAATTCAGCATGCACGTTCCATATGTGTCCCAATCGGACTTTGTTTGAGTCATATGAGGTGGCTAAGCAAAGTGAAATTATTATGGGAAACAACTAATCTTGTTGGGTTGCTGGAATTGGTGGGGTCTATTGAGGTTGCAGGATGATACAGTCATAATACTTGACCAATTTCACTATGTTCCAGACTTGAAAAAGAATCTCATCTCGTTGAGCACTCTAGATTCAAAGGGGTATAAGTTCTCTGGTAGAGATGGAGTCTTGAAGGTCTGAAGGGGTGTCCAAGTTGTACTATAAAGATGGAAAAAGTCTTAGTTGAACATTTTGTACTGACGCGCGAACCAGTTAGGAGATAGCCGGACAAGTTCGGTACTGTGGTGGAAACTCAATTTGGTACAGCACCTCTTGCGACGGGCTCTAAATAAGTTTAGAACATTGCTAGAAAAAGAGTTTGTGATTCTGCTTTGCCACCAATTTCAGCGAATACGCTGTGTTCAAATGCTAGGGTTGAATCCATTGAGCGTAGGTACGATGTTGGAGACGTCTATAATGCTTTTGGTATATTTGAAGGTGACAGTTCTAGTAAGGGACATTCTAATAAGGCATTTTGTGAAGATTCTGCTACATGGTGTGTTTCGACCCTGTTCATCAATTATAAATCCTTTTTGGAATTTGGTGAACCTGGGACAGGGTTCGGGTGTCACTTGTGGACGTCGGGCAGAGGATGATGTTTTTCGTGAGCTAGAGAATTTTGGTTACTGTTTAAGAAGCTTAGTTATTTCAATGTAGTCGTAAATATTTTTTAGGTGAAGAAATTTTGAAATTTTGTTCGTTGTACTGAGATTTGGATTAAAGTGGAGATTGTTAGATTTTGTTTCCCAAATTAGGGTGAATTTTTTGGAAAAATATTGTTTCCTTATTTTTATGTGATTTTATTGGAAAATATTGTTTCTTTATTTTCTCGTGATTTTATTATAAATATACGTGATTTTATTATAAATATATTATTTCCTTTATTCCATATTATTTTTATATTACTTCCATCTTTATAGTATTTTTAGGGTTTAGCATGTCCCTATAGATATGCGACTCTTCATTCAGTTTAGGTCAAGCATTATTGCTCAGTTCCTTATATTTTCTTAATATCATTTTGAATAAAACATCGTTTTCTCTTCTACTTTCTTGTCAATTGCTTTACTTTAATCTTGTTTTATCGTTGTAATCTTGTCTACATCACATATTTCATATTATATCATTAAATCTCAATTCTTACAACACATTCGGAATCTACAAGTGGTATCAAGGCAATTCTTGCAACTTGCTTGTTCCCAAAAGAAAATGGGTAGATGGTAAACAAATTATTTGAGAAAATATTATATTTATGTTTTATTATTTTATTTTTTGAGTTTAACAATATGAATTTAAAAAAAAAATGTATCAACAGGTTGGGTCGATTACTAAAATTTTAGTCAGTCCAACTCGACTTTTTGTTGATTAAAATTAATTGAATCAAATTGATTTTTTGGTTCAAACTGATTCATACCAACCCAATTCAGTTTGATTTAATCCGTTTGATCGATTTTTCGAATTTTTTTGCTCACCCCTAACTCAAACCTTTCCATCCATTAGACTAAATGTGCAAGTTTTTCAAATTTTTGGCATCGCGGTTGTCATAAATGAAAGATTTGAATAAAGTCCACAATAAAATGAAAATTTTGATAATGTGATCGTAATTCTCCCTGAAAGGTTGTGCTATATTTACAGAGGAAGGATTCACAAAACCCCTCCAGAATATGCACAATTGAAAATGAGTAAGTATTTTTTGGAACATTTTACTCGCATGAAGGCCTTATTCTCTGTACAAATGAAAAAAATCCCGAAAATTATGTCTAGTTAGAATTTGAACATTGATTCATGTACTTCCCTTGAAGCAAATTTTGTTGGCATCTTATCGTATATTGGAATCCCAAAACTCAAGAAGTCATCATACAATCACACGACCTGTTACATCATTGGACAACTGTATATGCACACAGCCATAATGCTCATCCCCACAGCCTCCAACCCCACCCAATCTTGTGTTGCCTCCCACCGCCTGCCCATGCCCCCTCTAATCTCAACAATCCCACAAACCCAAAAACCCTGTTTGAAGTAAAAATCCACAATTTCCCCATAAAAACAAAATCAAGAAAATGCCCACAAAATAATGTTTCTGAATTCTCTGAATCTTGGGTTCTTGCAGTGGTTCTGTAGTTAAAAATTCCTCAGAAACTCTTACTTTTCAGCCCCGGCTTTTCCTGAACTCTACCTTCCATGTTTGAGCAAACCCTAGATCTGTCCCCCTCTTAGGTAAACAAATATACCCACTGTCTTTGCCTTTAATCAAAGTGTGCGTGTAGATTCTGTTTTTACGTTCGTAAATTTTTTGAACTACAGCTTTTTAATAAATACGTTATACTTTTACAACTTGTGTTCACTTTTTTTATTCTTATTTTTTTCTCCTCTGAAGTTGCACACACGCGCAAGCTATATGCATATGTTGGTTGTGTGTTTGCTGACTGCTTTTTTTATATTTATGGGAGCAGATTTTTTGAAAGTGAAAGGAGATATATTGGTTGAAGGCTTTTTGGTGTGGCTTGAAGAGAAGGGGAGTAATTAGAGGGAAAGATGAGTGGGACCGGATCGTCGGTAGCGGTGGGGATCGGGGGAGCAGGAGGGGAACTGGGGTATGGGAGGTGCAGACCACCATTTACAGCAATGCAGTGGCAGGAGCTGGAGCATCAAGCCATGATATATAAGTACCTTGTGGCTGGCTTGCCCGTCCCACCTGATCTTGTCATTCCCATTCGACACAGCTTCGAGGCACTGTCTGCTCGGTTCTTCCACCACCCATCTTGTAATCGTCTCTCTTTCTACTTATCTAATGGTCCTCTTATGTTAAGTCGTCAATTTTGCTTGTCAGACTTATGTGTATATGTATTTGGGTAGGCGAATGAATTTAGCTTCCGTCTTCATTTCTTTTTGTAACTTAGTCTTAGGGAAAAACAAAAAAAAAAGTAAGAGGTTGGTTGGCAAGTGCTTAGTTCACAATCTGATGCTAGAAAAAGAAAAGAGTTACTATTCACGTTTCTTTATTAAATGTTCATAAATTTGAAGTGGAGAGTATAATTTAAATGTTTTCCTTTCCTAGTCAACTCTTGGGACTTGATTTTGGATTCTTTAATGCAGTTGGATATTGTTCCTATTATGGGAAGAAATTTGACCCTGAGCCAGGGAGATGCCGGAGGACAGATGGGAAGAAATGGAGGTGCTCCAAAGATGCGCATCCGGACTCCAAATATTGTGAGCGGCACATGCACCGAGGCCGCAACCGTTCAAGAAAGCCTGTGGAAACTCATTCTACTTCACAATCCTTATCAACTGCAACTTCGCACATCACTAGTGGGAGCAGTGGTAACAGTGGAAGCTACCAAACTGGTGGCAATGTAAGCTTCCAAAACATGCCCTTGTATTCTGTTAGTTCAGAAGGCTCGTCTTTTGGGAACAATGTGACAAAGCTGCATATGGAGCCTGTACCCTATGGGATCAATAACAAAGAGTACAGGTAACTTAGTTAAGCTTAGTTTCTTAATTTGTACTGGAAACTATATAACTAAATAAGAACTTCATGACATTTTGCTGGCCCATCTGTTTTTGACTAGCATCAAGTACTACAGTTGTGATTAAATCTGGATATTGTGCTGGACACAATGTACTTGTGTCAATAATAGTGACCAGAAACAAGTGATTCCGTTTGTTAAGCAATTTATTTCACTTATGTACTCCTACTTGTTTCTGGTCACTCTTGTTGACACAAGTATATTGTCTCCATATACTTCTCAATCTGGGGTTTTGGTTTGTGCATAATTATACCATTTGTTTTTATCATGTCATTTGAGGTCTTTTTTGGGTCTATTTCTTTCAGTTGTATAGCAGTTAGGGTAGCTCATCCATCAACCACATTCTTTCTTACACCTAGGAAGATCGATATTATTTGGCATATTTGTGAAATGATTGCCTACAGTAATGTTTTAATGCTTGGTGATATTGTTGAGACTTGAGAGATCCCCTCATTTTTTAGTTTTTAATTACTTGAGGATTAGAAACAGGAAGATCTTGCTGTTAAGCAATAGTGGCTATACATTGAGTAGAGGCACTTATACAGCGTCATCACTGACAGGCATTTCTGTTTTCAGATATGAGCTATCATATTGTAATCTGGTTGCTGTTACTCAAACTCAGGCTATCTGGTGGTCATTAATTCTGTTAAGCTTATATGACAAATCAATCAAGAAAATTTGAATGGGGAAACAGGTTAAAAAATGCAATATTTGCTGAGATTTTAATGGGTAAGGGTCTTGGTCTTCATTAATTTCTGCTGATTGAAATAAGATAAATCTGCCAACAAACAGATATGTTTCATATATTTGACTAAAAATGTGGAAGTTCTGAAACCCCTGGTCTCAAAGCTTGTAGTGGAAGAATGTGCTAGTCTGCAGTTGATTTCCTACTGCATAGGGACATGATGTCCATGGTTTCAGTGGTTTTTTACTTGTAAAATATGAGCTGTGATTTTATCATAACTGTATGGTTGTTGAATAATTCATTCTTGCCAACTGTACTTTCATTCTATTGTGGAACATGAATTCTAATGTGATGAAGAATGTGGTTGAGTCTGCCTCGAGTTTCAGATATGATATCATGCATCATTCTGGTCAAAACTAAGTGAAAGTTCTAAGGTTTATTCATTGTCTATGATTCCTGCCAATGGGCAGAATTGAAAGTTTACCCTGGGGCAAATTAAGCTAATGGTTAGCCTAATACTTTGCTGAGCACAAGAACTGGAATTGATAAGGATCAGAATATGGTGATGTGTAATTCTGTGATTGAAAAACCTGTGGGTAGCGTTTCTTGATTTAGAGGACTAAATTATGAGAATTGATTTTAGTGAGCGCTTCTTGCACATAGTAATGTTCACTGGTCTTTGGAATGATTTGCAGGTCATATGACCTAGTTGAAAATGAACTGCTTGTTCCCGCATAGTCCTATAGTGACACGTCTACCACGTTGTAAATTTAATATTGGTGTAGATTATGACAAAGCTTTAAAAAGGTTTTATTTAAGCTAGCATGCCATGTTCCTAAGAGTCTGTAATTGATGTTTCTGGTACTTTGGTACCTGTTCATTGAAAGGTGCTAAATTTGTGCATTCTTCAAAATCTCACTTCGTCTATCTTGTTGGACTGTTGTACTCTAGTGCATAATGATGGAAGCATCCTGATCATTATTCTGAGATTTACAATCTTCTATTTGTTTTTATGCATGTTTACACCATGGAAGGGAAAAGATACTATCACCTTATTTTTTTTCCTTGTAATAAATCAATCGAACGAAGTTAGAGCAAATCGAATGATATGACTTCTGATGATAAATTGTTTTAGAGCTCTGATGAGGGTTTAGTTTCTTCTCAACATCTATTGGTGCTCGAGCACGAGATTTAGTTCAGTTCTTTAGCTACATGAATTACATGTTTTTTGCGCTTCACACCAATAATGTACTATATTTTGATCTTGTTGAATGAGAAACACAGATTTTATCTTTAATTCCTCTCTCCCTCTACCCCTCTCGACTATCAGCTTATAACATAAGTTCAGCACAGGTACATTCATGGACTTGCTCCTGATGCTGATGAGAACACTTACTCCCCAGAAGGTTGTGGAAGTGTGGGAGGCCTCAAACTGGGCACTAGTGTTGGCAGCAGCACATGGTATCTCACGCCTTCTCAACTTCCGCCAAACCTTTCTCTAAAACAGAAATCTGATTCTCAGTTTCTGGGCCACTCGTCCCCTCAACTGCATATGCCCCAAGCTTTTGTGCCTATTGACACCATGTTGTCAAAACATCAGCAGCAACACTGCTTTTTGGGCAGTGATAGTGGTTCACCTGGACCCGCAAAGCAGGAGCAACATTCTGTGCATCCCTTCTTCAGCGAGTGGCCTACAACAAAGGAATCGTGGTCCAATTTGGATGAGAATGAAACCAACAAAAATGCATTCTCTACTACTCAGTTGTCCATCTCAATTCCAAGGTCGTCTTCTGAATTTTCCTCAGGGAGTGGTTGTTCACCAAATGGTAAGTTTAAAATATTCTAGTGATCTACTCTTCCTGTTGTAAATTTCTAGCTCGATAGTGTGTGTATGGTACACAGCACTCTACAAGACTAGATTATAATAAACGATTTTAATTTCTTGATATTGTTCATGTTTTGGAAGTGATTCAGTTAAGGGTGTGTTTTGTGCCCCATTTTTTTGAATGAATGGATTTATAATAGTGAGTTTTTTTGGAGAATTTGTGGTTACAAAGTAAGAAAAAGTATTGGATTTACGTGTAAAATTATTTTACTTAAAGAAATTGTGGCTGAAAATGAGTTTAAAATTTTTATATAATGTGGCCCAAACAGGGGCTAAATTTAAGTGATTTAAAAGCTGTGGAGTCCTATGGAGCATATAGATAATAAGTGGATCGTAGTAGTGTGTCTTGCAAGATGTGTAGATAAAATGTATATTTGATCGGCTGAGATTATAATCACTTCTTAAACATGTACATTGTCGAGTACTATCTAATCCTTCTTACGAAACATGCCATCATGGTGCCAAGTCACTAGATCTAACATATACTAATCTGAAACCTCTGGTCTGTGCTGTATGAAGATGCTTGAAGATGGATAATTATTATAATTATTCCGATCAGTCCTTGCTGCTGGCAAAGGATGGTGATTTACATGATCTTTGACTGTGCAAGGTTTATGTACTTTCGTGTTGTTTTTTCTAGGACATGGGACAAATTTGGTTGTGGTGTAAAACTCGCTAATGCTCGAGTTCAACATGAGGAATAAATGTAATTAACTGGCTTCTTTTCGCCTATGAGCTTATACTCTCTCGAGAATATGTAAATTATCCTATCAATTCAGGCGCGTGCAGCGAATCCTTGTTTTGAGCTGGGTTCTTATATCCGTTCTTTTGAGACATCGGTGTTTAATTCCGAGTTTATATTATTGATGTTGGGGTCGACCCGGCTTTGTCAGCGTCTCTAATCTCATCTATTGGTGGGAGCTATGTTCGGGGGAAGTGTCTCTTATTGAGGGGGGTCAGATTTGACTCGAAGATGTATGAATGAGATTTTGAGGGTCAAGAAAGAAGCTGAAAATGCCAATAAGTCCATGTTTGGAGTGAATTAAAATTTGATTTTTAGTAGATTTTTTTGAAAGCAGTTGAAGAATGCAGTTGAAGAGTTGCGTCACATTAAGCCTCTTTTAGTTTTGAATGGTCTTTTTTGAAAATATATGGAGTTAAGTGGGAAAAGTTATTAGTTTGCGTGTAAAATATTTCATTGTGCGAATGTGATTGAAAATGAGTATGAAAAATAAATTAAAGAGAATCAAACAGGAGTTAAATGTGTGAGTTAAATTAATTATTGACTTTGATTTAAATTAAAATTTTGATTTTCATCTAATACAAAATGGAGGCTAAATGTGTTGAGGATGAGTTTGCAATCCAATGCATGCATGAGGGACTACACTTGCAACGTAACCTTGCAGTAAATCGAAAAACACGAAACACGGTGTCCGTTCCATCATTTTCTCGTTAGTGTTAGCTTTTTACATTTTTCTTAAAAAAATTCAGAATCAAAATTCGCGCCACTATAAATACCCACACGTTCCCCTCTCTTTATAAATAAAAGGACAAAAGAGGAACAAATTTCAGAGAAATAAAGACCCGGCTATGAGGAATAGAACAACTAAGAGATTATCCACGGCGGAGCTCCTGGAATTGCCGCCGTTGAACATGGCGGCAGCGAGGAGCCCCACCTTGTCACCGCCAGAATCTCCTGTGGAGCAATTCGAGTTCAAACTCAATGGATTTACCACCTCAACCACCAAACTGACATCATCAAAGAAGAAAAGCTGCAAAAACAGCCGTGTAGGTGCATCCGCCTTCAAGATGAAGCAGCCTACTGGAATCGCGGCACCATCGCCGAAAAGCGTGAGCACAATTTCTGATCTGAAGGATCAGGCTTCTATTAAACTGGAATCCATCAAGTACCAGTTGGATTCATCACGCTCTGAGATTGTGAAGGATATGGAAGCATCACAGTTCCGTCTCCAGAAACGCCTTAAGGTCTCGAACATTCTGCGTCATGCAAAAATATGGCATATATATACATGCATGAGTGCGTGTGACTGTGTGTGTGTGTTTAGATTTCGTTTATTATTTCTAATTTGATTTTCCAATTTTAGCTTAATGAGCTTGTATTTAATTTGCTTATAATTTGAATTTTATGCTGTGGTATGATTTCTAATTGCTGTATGATTTCTAATTGCTGAATGATTAGAAGAATTGGTGTCGAATTTTTTATTTCATTTCTCTTTTTAGCCTAGGGAGACGTCCTTATTTTTCTAATTTCTAATAACAGGATTATATATAGGGCCCGTTTGGTAGAGATTTTGAGAATTGATTTTTTGACCGTTAGAAGAAAAGTGGGGTCCACATGTGAGAGAAGAAGTCAAAAATTACGACTTGAATAGTAAAATAACGGTCAAAAAATCAATTTTTGGGGGCAAAAAATCCCTACCAAACGGGGCCATAATTGATTGTCTCTGTCTTCGCTTAGTGTGTGTTTCTGCAAGATTGAAATGATATAGACAGTATAACATCACACACTTGTATTGTATGCTCTAAATGCTTACAGATGTTGAAATGTACAAACTCTCATCTGCCTTTTACCTAGGCATCTTCAAAACAACAATAAGATGTTGTGTTAGGTACTGGACTCAATGTTTCTTATGTGCCTTTGGTGTTTGTGCTTGAGAGAGAGTGGGGCTTGGGTATATGCTTTAATTGTTTAGATAAAGCAGCATTTGTTAATACCTAGAGTTCTATCTCCTCTGATGCTGAATTCCTCTTTCCTATTGTCTTTAGGGGAAAACATCCATGATATCCACTGCTCTTTATGATGTGAGAAATGCTATTATTTTTCACTGAATATTTATTTATCTGCTCATGATATATTGTAAGATTTGCTGTACTCTTGCATTTTGTATGGCATTGAAACTTCTCTTCATTTAAGATGGACACTACATTGAAATTGACTTCACTCTTTTCATATTTATGCACGCACACATAGACACAAGTATGTGAAGTTGCGTCTTCAATATATTTCATGATATACATGGAATACACGTATGTACATATGCATGTGTGTTATATTCTACAATCAAATAATCAGTGTTCCATGTGTCTTATGTCATTAACTTTCCGTGGAACAGTTGGAGCGCTCAGTCCACTTCTTTTATAATACATTTTTTATACGTGTGTATAATATATGAAAGGGGATGACGAGTATTAGACATTTCAGACGAACTAAGATCCTTCCCTGTCGTGTCTTTTATTTTTCAAAAACACTACAAGATTCTTAAAAAAAAAAAAAAAAAAAACTATCCATATTTGCTTTGTGTTCCAATTCCCTTTCCTTGAAAAATATGTACAGTTCTTAGCGTATTTAGTCTTTGCAAGTAATGATTGTTTGGTTGATGTTTCTGTAGTCTGCCTACAATAAACTGAATTAAAAGCGTTGCTTGCGTACCTTTGTGTTCCATATAAACTCATGTAGTAATCGTGGTCATTTAAAGCAGTTCAAAGAAGCTGAAAATCCTCGTAAGCAGAGATTGAGCAATAAAACACACAAGGTGATAAAAATTTATTAACTATTAACAAATTCAATGAATGAGATGAAATTTCTGAGACTGTAGAGTAGTGTGCATGGAATGAGTTCATCTCTGGTCTGTAAAATTTTCACTTGTTGAAAAAAGCAATTTTTGCTTAGATGAAAGCATACTGCCAATTATATTTAAGAGCAAGAATCAGAATTGATAATTACTTTCATGTGGGCGATTAGATGCATTCACTTGGAATGTAGGTATTCTTTCATGATTATAAAGATGATGGATCTTTTCTCATTTTTATTTTCCAGAACTTCTGTGATACTGTTTCAGGGGTTTATCTATATTTTCAGGCAGGAGTTAACTGTACTGAGAGTTTGAAACTGTTACTGTTTTATACTTAGCTGTGTTATCTATTGTTCAACCAAACCAATGCTTTTGCTGTGCTTTTACATATTTCTTCTCTTGGAAACATTTCAACAGCTTCAGAAACAAGCATGTCAGCAAGTAATGGATGCAGCAGAAAAGGAATATAAGAAGATGTCTGGACGAATTAATGAAGGTCAAGATGCAATACAGGTGCATATCTGCTTTCTCCCAGAAAATCATCTTTATTACTTCTATATTAAACCTATCAAGTCCCATCAGTTTTACAACCTTGAGTAATACTTTGTGTCAGGCTTCATATGCGAAATTCTTAGCAGCAGCACAGGCCAGTGCATCTCACTGTAAGTCATCTTTAAAAACACGCTTTATTGATGTCGATTCCAAATTCTAACAAGCTTCTGTATGGATAGTGATCCGATATTCTTTTCCGTTAAAACTATATATGTGCTTTCGTTTATCCAGACACAAGACAAAGATGCAGTGTTGCATAAGCCCTTTTGCGTAAAATAAAAATTGTTAAGATGGCTACATGAATGTCATTTTACTGAAAAGGTAATGTATGTACAGAATGTCTACAGCATGTAACAATATTTCGTTGAATTTTGTTTGTTCAAAATTACAGTACTGAAAACATCTATCCCAGAGCTTTCACAATCTTTTGAGAAGCCTATTGATTCGCTCAAGAGTCACTATGGGATCTCGTCAACTTCAGCTTGACAGACGGAATTTTCACCCTTTGGTAAGCGAGTCTTTAATGCTTTTTTATGACTTCTTCCTTAATGTAGCTCTGTTTTTTCTTATTTGAAGTGTACTACACTGAAATCCAGTCCTTATCTAGCCAATTCAGAGGTTCAAAAATAATAAAACAGATAGTCAAATTGAATATGGAGAAAGGGTAATTAAGAATGGGATATGAGATTTATTTTTTAGCTATATATTACATAATATAAAATCTAGTTATTAGGTGGAATTATACTGTCCAAATATTGTGGTTCATCTTACGAGTACATTAAATATCATGTTTAATAAGAAAAAGAATTTAAAATCATGTTATTTTGCTATTCGTTCTATCTAATATTGTATACCAAACATACTATTAAATTACTATCTTATTTGTCAGGAATAATTTCTTGGGAATTGCTGAACGGTTCTAGGTGGTCATTTTTGGCATTGATATAATTCTTTCTGCTTGTATAAATCAGTCTCATTTCACTGTTGAATTGGTAAATCAGTTGCTTTCTTAGGTTGGTTAGTGACCCTGGCACATCCACATGGAGTTCTTCATAACTATCAATAAATTTCTTTTAGATCTTGCAGTGAAGACGGTGAATCATTTAACATGCTTTCATTTACAATTTCAAGTGATTTTACTTTGATGCAATTTTTATTTTTGAAATCTTTTAACTAAAAGCAATCCTCTCGTCTAATGAAGAAGTATAGAAGGAAGTTGTAGACGGAAAAGAAGAAAAGTGACACATTTTTCTCTTTTAATAATTGTTCTAAATACATAAAGAGAGAGGACCAAAGGTTAATGGCACTTCCTTATTAAGGAGACTCTAGTGTGAAAATAATCAATAAGATAATTTCCAAAACAAATTGTATACCTAGTCTCCAACCTCTTTATCCTTTATGTTGGTCTTTGTCGTGAACGCAGAGTGTTCGTAAGTTAATTAAAGTAGTAAACTGGATCTAAAAAGTTTGGATTATTGATTTTATGAGCACTAACTATTGGTACATTTATATTTAATTTTTATTCGAGTAAACAATTCAAAGTGATCTTTAACTACCGAGTCTAAAATTTATATAAATTGAAAAACAATTAAATCAATAGAAAATTTTGAATTTTTACTTGAGCAAAATAAGTGTCAAGATTCAGAGTTCACTAGTTATCTTCTAAATCTCAATTAGCCAATTCTAACAACTCACCATATCTCTATATATAAATCTGGGTAAATCTTAATTAAGAGCATTAAATAACAAAAAATTTCAACTAAGAATTGCTAAATTAGTAAAAGTTATCTCCCCACTTTCTCCCCAAATTCCGATTTTTACTTCTTAATATGAACATGTCTGTACAAAGAGAGAGATTGGAGGAGGTTGGCACCGACAAAAAGTCCAACGCCGTGGGCAATATAGGTCAATTTCACATCTCAAAAATTCTGGCAGAACCAACAACTCACTGAAAATAAATAAATAAAAAGGAAATTCACGCCACCAATTAATAATCAACTAAATCATTATTTGTTATTGATTCAAAGTTGCACATCACACAGAAATCTGTTGATAACAACGCGTACTAAAGCAAGCCCAAACATTTGTAAGCCGAAAATAACGTCAAATTATTCATCAAACAAACGATTATAGCCGAGAACAACACAGCACTCGGATGCTGTCGGAACATAAAACTGTTAGGTGGGAACACACTACTCACTGCTACTTGCACAACCGGATAACATAGTACTCAAACTTATTTAACCTCTCGACTTCATCCCGCCACTTTTCTGGTATGTATTCTTCCAGGAAGAATTTCTTGTGATCTTCTAGGATATAAATCAGATTGGCCATGCAATCCTCCAGCCTTCATTGGTGGAGGCACTGATGGCTTTGCAAGTGGCCTGCCGGAGCCAAGTGTCATATCTGTAAACTTCTCAGTGGCATCACAAACTCCTCGCGTCTTTCCCAAGTAAGTAGCTGAATAAACACACAGCCAACCGTTGAATGAGAAGATATGAAGTTATACATAAGTAAGTTTATTTTAAACAAATTCTTTTATTGATTAAAATCGGATTATTGCAGGAAAATGAAACTTCTGCTTGGTTTTAAGCTTAACCAGCCACACTAAGCGAAGTGTCATCGGCCAGTCCTCTTAGAAGACTGACAGAAGAAATTGTATTTGTGGATAACAGAGCACATGCATTCAACGGTAAAATTAGGCCAAAAGTGACTGCAATTTCAGGCTTTTAGAGGTGAATCTAATTGTCCGATAAATATAGCACTTAATATAAGAAAACATAGCATACTATGGCATGACAAGCATTGGTTGGTAGTAAATCACAAACACATCAATGGCAATATGAAACAAATCAATGCTTTCATCAACTGATACATCTCAGAACATGCCACAATTGCAATAATAGCTTCTAACTATTAAACCAACTCAACTTAGAAAATGGAGATGAGATTGAAGTTAGCATGTTTCAAAAAGAACTATAAATCAAGGTGTATCACTTACTTGGTCCATTCAATGCAGGTGGACGATACTTTTGCTGTCGGTTCACAGAATTAAAGTTCTTGTCATTCTTAATTACATCCTGAGCCATTAAACATGATGAAGTGAGTAAGAAAAGCACCTCAAAATAAATAAATAAATACACATGCAAATTAACAACAAAATGCTACTGTACATGCATTTAATTGAGACAATAGCTATACCAACTCACCTGATTATTCATGTCCAACTTCCTTTGAACACCTGTAAAAGAAATAAACATATGTTTCGATCTCATACATAAAACAATGCAACTGACATTCCTACCACCCCACCCCTTTTTCCTGCCCTGCCCTTCCACTCCCAACCACAAAATGAAGAAAAAGGACAAACGTACTGCAGCCATAAATCTGAATTACTTTAGAGACCAAAAGGAAAAGAAAATTACTCTATCCTCACCCCACCCCTTCTCTCTCACAAACACACCACACCCATATCTTTAAAATAAAAGCTCCAGAGTCTAGCACTCCATAGAATGGATAATGTAAATAACTTTTATGGACAACAGTTACACAACTCAACAACCACTAACCAAAAAATAAAAATAATAAAAAAAAAAAAAATCATATGGTAAACAATATACCTGCATTCAAAGTTGCATGTGGTTTCGCTGAAGAAAAATTGTTCACGGGCTTTGGGTTCAATGAACTCCCGGGATATCTCCTACTATTTTTATGTTCCAAAGCTCCCCTTGTTCCAGCTGAAATAAATCAAGATCATAAAGGTTCATCGACTAAATATTCAACATCGAAGGAAAACATCATCGAACTTTAAGGACTTACCAGGAGGGGTGCTTGCTACAGCAGCTTTAGTGCGAAGTGATGGTGGAACATAAAAGCAACTCTGCAACATTAAAGAAACAGTCAAGCTCTGAAATTCTCTTCCACAATGAGAAACTACAATAAAATTTGCTAATTAACGACACTAAAATATTGATGGTGCAACCACCTGGAAGAAAGGATGTTGAAGGGCCTCCAAGGCTGTTAGCCTCTTGCATGGATCCCATGAACAAAGTGACTACATTTAAACAAAAGGAAAATAAACCTATAAGCTGGTTACAAAAGATATATTACACGCTAGAATAGAGAACATATTAAAAAAAGTTTCCATTTTGAGAATACTTTTTTAAGGTATGCAGAAAGACAGATTAGAGAGCAGGGAAGCATGAGAGAAAAGGCCTGGTTTTAAGCACTACTTACTGTAATAAGGTTAATTGCATCTGCACTAACACCTGGTATTATCAGAGAAAGATCGACACCAGCAACCTGCACATCAAAAGCATGCAGACAAGTTCAAAATATGTAATTAAATTTTATTCATCCAAAGAACATGTGATCATCAAATATTAAAAGTGACCATTTCTTCACCATCTTGTTTCCCAGTTATAATGGCAATGTGGTGGGAAAGTAGCAAGCAACCTCACAAAAGTAGGTAATACAAAAATATCTCCATTTTTCTCCAAATATCATATCTTAATATATAGAGAAAACATAAACTTCTAATCTAGAACTTAAGACGCACTGTCAAAACATTTGGAAAATTATGCAGTGAATGAGAATCAGAACCAACTCACTTCTGGAAACTGGTAATTGATGGCACTAGCAAGTTCAAGTCCTTCAGGCCATCTAATCTTGGATGGGCTGCCTATTACGCAGCATATCTTATAAATTTCATCTGCTTCACTGCACCAACATAATAAAGAAGTACCAAAGTCAATGTTCAGTGCGAGAATTTCAATTGAAGGTAATCAACACTAGATATCATATACTGTGAATGAGCTATTAGACATGCACTTTTTGTTTTTATTTCAAATGAGAAGAGCAATGACTCAACGCCCAGGTAGCCCAAACATACAAGATATTTGGAGTGACCATCCATTCAAAAGCACCTTCATTATATACATTGGGTTTACAAGATCATTAAATAACTCATTCCAGAACAGCTACACAGCTGGGGTGCCTTTAAGAGAGTGATTATACCTTGAGCCGGGAAATAGAGGACGGAGGGTCAACAATTCAGCAATTATTGCACCCATGGCCCACATGTCTGGAAATTAGAAAAACAATAGATTAGAACAGGAAAAACTTCCCAATACAAAAACTCCTTTTTCATCATCTACTCACCAACTGCAGGGCCATATGTTGGTGACTGAAGTAGAACTTCAGGGGCCCGGTACCTGCAAGGTGCACAATTTAGTATCAAAAAATATTCGTGTGTCAGAAGTAAAGAGAGAAACTAGAGAAAACCACCCACCAGCGTGTTGAGACATACTCCGTGAATGGAGGTTGTGAGTCAATCTCCCGTGCAAGACCAAAATCAGCAACTTTTATGATATCCTTAGAGACTAGCAAATTCTCTGAAAAAAATTGCAACAGACATGAAAGACCAAAATTGTAGATATAAGATTGGGACAAGATATCTAAACTTTATCAAAAAATTAAAAAAATACAGCAACTCAAGAACAAACTCTGGGATTATAATAAGCAATTAATCAGGTCTACTTATCCAAAATTGTAACACATATCTTAACAATACATTTGCCTACTTTGAAGTTCGAATAAGATACAAAACTCATAATTCACATGGCAGTTGGCGAGGGGACATTACCATCCCGGTCTCCCATCAAGGATTTTTAGGAAGCAGTGCAGGGATTTAAAAATTCCCATTTACTGTCCCGTTTAATTTATTAATTAATTATTTTTAAATTAAAATTTTTAAATATGATTTAAATTGAAAAAAAAAATAACATTAATAAAATAAAACAAGGACAGGAATACCTAGAACCATTCAGGTCAGGACAATGCAGGGCATGGGGTGGGGAATTTTGCCATTCGCACACAATGTAAAGCATGTAGAATCAAGCAAAAATACATATTTGTTAAATACTTTCCCAATATGTTACCCTAAAATTCATTAAAAAAGCTCAAAGCAAGACAACAGGAAGGGAATCCCCAAAATAAAGCTGATACATGGAGGTTATGGAAAAACATCAAACAACTAAGATAAGTCCGGATAAAGAATGACATTGCAATTTTTATTGTGCAATCACCTGGTTTGAGGTCACGATGGAAGTATCCACGTTGATGCATGTATGCTAGACCTTGAAATACTTGGAAGCACCATGTTCTTACTTCTGCTTCTGAAAAAACTTTTCTCCTATCCTTCATAAGCTGGTAAAGATTGCATTCCTAAAATTTTGACACAAATTACAACATTATCTACGGAATCAGAAGCCGTTGGAAAAGCAAAGACATCTATAGATGGTATAGGCAACACATACCATGTACTCAAAGACGAAGTACAAGACATCATTTTCTCTAATAACTTCCTTGAGCTTAACTATATTCAGATGGTTCATTTTCTGCAGTGACTGTCAAGAAGAAAAACAAATTGTTTATCTTACATAAAGAGAAATGTAAAACAATCAATATAAAAGTAAATTCTGTCACCTTGACTTCTCTCAACTTTATGCATTCTTCCCACGAATAATACTTCTTCTTCATCTTTTTTATTGCAACCTGTTAAAGTAAGAGTACTAATTTGAAATAAAAGCAACCTAATCAATTTAAACTCGAGAAGAATCTGAATGAAAAATACACCTACCACTTCAGCAGTCTGCTTATTCAGAGCTCGCCAGACACTTCCAAACGTACCATTACCAACTTCCCTAATAATCTTGTACCTGTATTTACTATAACGATAAGTCTACCAACGGAAAAAAAGATACTTGCAAAATTGCAGAACTAAAAAGTTGCAGAACGACGTACCTATCCATTCTCACGTCTTCAACTGCTCGTGACACTATTTATTCGAAAAGAGTAAGAACATAAAATAAAGATCAGTGTTTGTATATCCAACAGATGACCGTATATCAGTATTATAAAATTCCTGGCTGATTAAGCAAAATCCACCACTAATTTTCTCTCATACTCAGCATGCCAGAAACACCAACGGCATCATGATGGACCGGCTTCACAGCCTTATTCATAAAGTATACCATATCATAGATCCCGGAATGACGACAAGGCAGAAAAGGCAAGGGGAAACTGCGAAGCATCTTTATACTGATCAACCAAACAGATGCAATACCTAGCTCATTACATGATCAACAGAAGCTTCCAGACAACATAATAAACCAAATCAGAATCTGATGCGAGGCTTCAGTCAATTGAACCTAGCCAATCTTAACAAGTCACCCAGGAGCAAGTGAAAAGAAAATGACGTTATCTAATATTTAATCACTCAGCACAAACAAGTGTGCTATTTAATATTAAACCACGTAAAAAGCTTCTTTGATTTACTGGCAGCCTTCAGCTCTGTGGTAAAAAGAAAGAAAAATAACACCAGCTTACAAAATTGGGCATCATCTATAAAGCCAAATTAATTGCTCAGCAAGATGACAGTATCTTAAAGATACCTCACAAATTGGTTTTCCGAGGATCTGAAATGGATGTTGTATCGGCAAAGCCTGAAAAAAAAAAAAAAAAAAAAAAATCTTAACAGGTTAACAGTGTAGTCTCTATCAAAAATCAAAACAGCTTTCAGAATGAATTGTAACATGCAACTCACTTGAAGAAGCGCAGTAAAGATCCAGCATCTATTTTAAAAGAAATAAGCATGTGGCCTTCTATACTGAACATTTATAAGAAGCTGTTCACTAAGTGCAATTGACGAAGGAAACAAGAAGAAAATCTCCAAGGATGAGAAACCGCCAGTCAACCTCCTGGAATGAAAGAACTTGATGCTGGAAGCAATCAGACCAAAAGCACACTTGTTCCATGTCCGAAATACTATTGATCTCTTCAAATCAAAATCTAACAAGGCCTGAAACCCCAGAGAAATAATTTCAACCATTAGACACTTTCTGAACTGAGAAACATGATAAGAGAAGAAACACAAGTAACCAAATTATATTACGCTCTGTAAAACTATACCATGCAAAAAATAGACAAAGAAGGTAGTTAAGGTCAACCTATGAATCAAGCACTCCTGTGCCTGAAATTTCATTATTTCATTAATAGTCCGTCGTACCAATAATTTTACTTTATTCTTCAAAAAATCAATAACCAGGGAATCAATCATTTATATCTTTGAAATAAACATATAGCTAAAGCCTCGTGGAAATGGTCTGTGCAAAAGTGCAATCCATCAAACAATCATTGCTAGTAGTGAGGACAGATACACAATTAAATTTTTCCTAATAACAGCTGCATATACAAGAACATATAATTCAAAATAAATTAAAATTGTAACTGCTGCGAATCCCAAAAGAAAGTAAATGGGAAAAAACATATCCAGATCACAGCATGCTGTGCCAAGCCCATCAAAATGATCACATATAAAGATCCCCAAACTCCAGTCCACCTATACATACACACATATTCATGCCATAAAAAATTGACTGCACAAAACAGAGAATTTGATAGCAACCTAAATCCAAGTGACTAACAAATATAATAAAAATTCCTGATGCAACGAGCCCTCCCTTCAGGTCCTATCTACAATATCATAGCTCACTATATAATAATAATAATAATAAATAGTAAACAACCATACTTGATATGAAAGACATAATCTAAATCCAAAACAATATGAATCCTGAATCTAACTGCTTAAGAAGAAATCAACGATTCCGAAAACCCTAACGATCCTATAAGCCCCTGAATTTGATAAATATTCTACTCAATATTTTTTTAAAAACTATGCAAAAACATTGAGACGTTAAAATAATACGTAAGAACTACATTCAAAACTCAAAGAAGCGACATTATATTTCGAAAAAGTTGCAGATATAAAACAAACGGGACCTAGAACCGAAGTCTCCAAATACAAATAATAATTTAATAAAACTATACACGAAAATCTCAGACGCGAAATAGCAGAAAACCCTTCCCCAAATTCAAATCCAGAAATCGCAAACCCAGATCCGTAAAATACAATTCAAGAATTACACTGTCAAAGCCCAGATCTAATTATAAATCAAACCCACCAGTCAATACACACATATATAGAGAAAGAGAGAGAAAGAAAGGATAATCGATTACCTTTAGGTGTAACGGCATAACCTAAGAAGAAGAGACCCAGAGATGCCACTATTCCTCTCTCTCTCTAACCTCTCTCTATCCCTATTTGTTTGAATGATTTTTTTGGGTGTTGGCTGTATTTATTTGAGGTGTGATTTGATATATGACGAAATCAAATTATGGTTTAAAAAATATATATTAAATATTAATTGGGGGATCCGAATCTTGGCTTTGTGGGCAAGAAAAGGGTTGTATAATAAAGAAGAAATTCCTCCCTTTTACGCTGTTAAGGGAATTTGGGAATTTCCTTTTCTTTTTCCTTTTCCCTTGCGGTACGTGCGCGGTGTTGTGTGGGGGCGCAGTGGAGTGGGGTTCGATAATTTTATTAAAAAAAGGTTGAACTTTAACAATGAGGGTCCTCATCGCCTCGCCCCTGGAGCATCGTGAGGGAGGTAAATCGAGGGAAGTGTTCCAACAAATCAAGAAACAAGAGTTTGCCCATATACTAGTGCCCACAAAGAGTTCAATTTCATATCTCAGAAATCGAACCCTCACACTGCGGCTGTCAGCAAGATTAAAACTACCTCATTCCTATCATTTGTACCATTGTGTGCTGATGTGACGGAAAAAATACATTTTTGGCTCCAAAAATGAGTACCAAACAGGGGCTTATTTTTTGGTGAAGTATAGGATTAGGGGAAAATTTGTTTTATAATGAATGATTAGGTGTTGATTGTATGATTTAGGTAGGATTTGGTCAAATGTTGAACACGTGTAAGAGAATTAATCGAAAGAAAAAGGAAAAAGACAAAGAATTTAGAAATAGTAAATGTTTGTATGAGAGTCTTACAACTAATCTCAGGATAGAGGTATCAAAATCTTTGTGTTAAACTGCGATTGGTTATTCGACAAGATATTAAGATGATTTAAAGTGGACGAAAGGCTTTACTTATCTCCTCATATCAACTGAATTTTGAAGTTAGAAAAATAAAATTACATATTACCTTGTGAATTAGATCTAATTAATTTAAATATAACTAACACGACGTGTTATGTATTAGTTGGAACGTAAGACACCAAAATCTTAAATTTGCTAGTGTTAGTACATAGCTAATTCATTGTTGTTTTGCATTTATCAGAGTGCCTTCAAATAGTTTATATAGTGACAAAGAGAAGAGAGAAAGAACCTGTTTGTGCCATTTTGATTTCGTACTATAGAATAGTGATTGATGTTGAAATGTGTGGTTAAAAAAGAAGAATTTTTTTTATTTATGTGTAATATTATTTTAATGAAGAATGTGTTGTTGAAAATAAGTACTGTTGAAAAAATAATGTGATAAAATGTGTAGAATGATTGACAAACAAATGCTAATTTTTTTTTGAGATTACAGATATTTTTATTGGTTCGTTTGCTTATATTTGGCCGTTGTTATAGCCACATTATTTTTATAAGAATACATTTTTGAATAGTGTATTGATGAAAAATGTGTGGTTAAAATTTTTTTAAAAAATTGAATTTACATGTAATATTATTTTATTGAAAAATGGTAGTTGAAATGATGATAAATTACTATTTAAGAAAATATATTTTTGAAAATATGTGAATCAAACAGGGCCTTGCTAGCAAGTCTCACTTAATCAAATCATTCAATGTCTTGCCGCGTAATATTATTTCACAACATAACACACATCAAAGCTAGGAGTGGCAAACAAACTGAATTGCTCATCAACTCATCCCAACTAGGTTTATGGCAGCTCGATTTCATTTTGAGCCAAGTAATGCTCACTTTTTTCACAAGCCAGCTTGGGATCCTAGAATGCCCCACCCCCCGCACCCAACTTATTTTTAATATTTTTTTTAAAAATTGCTCGATTTTGAGCTTACTTTGTTAAATAATATAAGAAAGTAAGTCAACTCGTGAGCATCTCAACTCAGCCCACGTGCCAAAAGGATTGAGCCGACTTAAAATTTGAACACGAGCCAAGCTCAATTATCCACGGATCAAGTCGGTCGTCAATGCATTAAATATGTATTAGTGTAAATAACATGTGGGGAGTATTTGATTGCTAATATGGAATTTACATGGAAAAAAAAATAAATTTTAGGCAGTTGAATTGTTTAGATATTATTTGCATGAAAATCGTCAATTAAATGTATTTGATTGATTTTATTTTCAACTTAAATAATGATATATTTGTCCATTTTTTATTAGTGGGTACTAAGTAGATGGGAGAGAGAGGGTGTAGATGAAAGAGAAAGTTAAAGTGAATTAACTGAAAAATAAAAACATATTTTTCTTAAAGAAAATATTTTTCATATTTTCAAGGGAAATATGGTTACATGATCAAAAGTAGAAAAATATATTTAATCAATCAAAGAGTACAAAAGTAAGAAATTCAATAAAAATGATATTTTTCATGAAAAATATTTACAATCAAACGCACTTGTAGATTACAACTTTAAAAAACAAAGACGTGACATAGTTACAAAGTCCAAAAAAATATGCCCATTGGCCATTGCAAATGTGACAAACTCAATTATTGGGTCATTGATTCAAAACACTCCAATTCAATAAAATTCCAAACGAATCAAAAACAAAATCCCGTATATGATTCAATACATACTTGAAGGCATCCCATTCCCATGTGCCTACAAATATTTATGGTGCCAAATTAAAGGCAACAAAACATATAATAATATGTTGTGTGTTAGGTCGCGATGGGCGGTTTATTGCCACCCCATTCCAATTCACATATATTTCTATCTTATCCATTGTGGTACCAACTTTCTATCAAAATCAAATGACTGGTATTTTTTTTCTGATTTATCGGAATCCTAATAAAATAATAACTCAAATGTACATTTTTTTGGTGGAGGTTGAGATGGATTTATGAGGTGTTGCGGTGGCGCCACGTATCTCCATGCCTAGTGGTGGTGGTTGAAAAAGAGAGGGAGGTGCCAAATAAGATGACCTAATATTGGCATTATTAAATGCTTGTTTGGAAATGATTAATATGTTTGTAAAAATTTGAATTCAACAATTGATTTTAATAATATATTTTATGTATAATCCACTTTTATCAAAAGCCTCGTCGAAGAACCCATAAGAGCATTTTTAGAACACTTTAAACAAGATGATGTCTATTTTAGTAAGTCAATGCTTAGAATTAAGCTCCAAGATAGTCGTAAGCAATATTTGTGTCGGAATTTAGTGGATGAAACTGGATTAGCGCATACCGTATATGTACTTCAAATACTGGATTTAAGCATACCGTTTATGCAATATACCGTATATGCAGCTTACCGTATTTGCAGGTAGCTTACAGTATATGCAACTTACCGTATTTGCAGTCTACTGTATATGATGTCTACCGTATTTGCAACTTACCGTATATGATGTCTACCGTATTTGCAGCTTACCGTATATGGCAGATAGCTTACCGTATTTGCACAGAATTTGCACAAACTATTTTTATTCATACAATAACTAAAATATCACAGAATTTGTACTTACAAATAGAAATACCGTATATGTAATTTATATACGTCAAATTGCATTTACCAACTGTTAGTAAGAAAATTAAGATTTTTTTTCGATTTTTATTTATAACGTAAATATAACAAACAAGTAAACTACAAAATATATGAATCAAGTAAATTTCAAACGTGTAAATTACTAAATAATTAAATCTGCAAGAATGTATTGCAAATGTGTAATTGCAAAATAAATAAATAGCAGATGAATTTTCAACCCGAGGCCTGTGTGAATATAGTTTCCTTAAAACAGATTCGCCCCTCACCGTTAGTGCTTGAGATCTAATCCGAACGTCTGTTTCCCAAGATACAAAGGTAAAACTCGTAGAATTTGAGCACCACAGATACTACTCCGATGAACTGATTTAGCGTATGAACAATATCATCACCCAAGCGAAAACTGTATATGCAGACTGAATAATATGCAGACAATCGAACAGTGTAGTTTCGTGTGTTTTCTGATAAAGAGTTTTTCGTATGTGCTGGAACTGCTGGAAAAATGATCTTTAATGTAAGTTTAAATCTACCTATTAACTCCATAGCAATAAAAATTGGGATTGCTTCAATTTCTGGGAGTTTTGACAGTTTTCAAAAACTCAAAGGTTAATTGGAGACAACAAAAAATTGCAAAATGTTGACACTCCAAACGGGCCAATTTTTGCTCCGTTCGATCCGACATTCGTGTACGCAGGTTGCGCCCGCACATAAGGTCAAGGTCTGAAGATAATTTTGGTTCGTGATTTGCACCCTCCTGCGCGCGCACATGGAGAGAGCATCTATACTACACATGATTATACCCTTCCAATGTGCAACTATATTTAAAGTGATTCTTGCTTTCATATTTTTCTTATGTGGGACAAACTCATTTTTACCACATAAAATCATCTTCCAATGGTCAACTTTAAGTTCCAATTTCTCATTCACATGAGCTTCATTTTGGCAAGTAAATATATGATTTCGATACTCTCACGGAGGAGAATGCGGATCAACTTTTATCTTTCAAATTGGACCAACGGGTCCCATCGAAAATTATGCCAAAAGTGAGCTATTTACTCATATTTTCCAACAAATTGTAGCTACGGTTTCAACTATCATTTTTAAGTAGACTTCATCCAAACATTTCATTTGCATCATCCGTAATCGTAATCATTTCATTCCTTTGCAGCAAAATGGTAGATGGATGCTAGGTGAGTAGAAAAGTTGACTTTGACCAAATATAGCCCTTGTTTGATCCCTATTCTTTGGGAAAATGTATTTTTCTACAGTATTTTAATATCATTTTAACCACATATTCTTCAATAAAATAATATTATACGTAAATCTAAAACTTTTCTTTATTTTTTAACCACACATTTTCCATCAATACACTATTCAAAATTTTATTTTTTTCCCCAAAAATGGGGCTCAAACAAGGCCATAAAAAGGACAAAATAATAATTTTACAATTTTAACTTAAAATAATTTAAATGATTAAATTAAAAAAATAAAAGGAAACCAATCTAAGCCCATGTTTGATGGCCATTATTTTGAAAAAAAAAATAGAATTTTGAATAGTAATATTTGAAGTTTGTATGATTAAAATGTAGAAAAAAATTAAATTTAGGTGCAAACTATTTTATTGTATAATG